CTCACACACTTTATTTCTTTTGCTCTAACACATATCTTTCTCTGTTACATTCACACTGTCTACGCTATTCCTCTGTAATACAAACAAAAGCACAACACACACATTAGCCTATCTCTTGCACAAACACATTTTCACTAACACAGTGTGTAGGCATCTTTTTTTTTTTTTGTCACAACAGATGGCATGTGTCACAATATTGTGGCAGTATTTCATTAACATTATGGGCATCCATCTGTTGTGAGCTCTCAGGCCCCCATAGAGCACCTTGTTTTGGTCACTGACAGAGAGATAATAAACGTTGTTAGCTGTAGATATGGTATGGAGCAGGGAGAGACCCACATATTCCTTTTTTGTGGCAACAGTATCGGGGTAGCACAGTGAGACTGTTAATTTCATCAACTAGGATGAAATAGTTGGTGAACTATTTCTTACAGCTAAAACTGTATAAAAAGTAAACCTTGGAAATCAGAACTATCATGAGGTACAATACACTTTTTGTCAATAAATGAGAGCTAAACTATAATATAAAAACAGATGAAAGAAATAATGAAGTAATTGCCATCAACATGCCTCATCTATGGAATCACAAACTGTAGCTTCTGATTAGTAAAAGTTTCCTCTGACACCCAAAAATATTGATTTAGCCGCTTCACCTGTTGCACCATTTTAGTCAAAATGTGAGTGAATCCAGCTTCTCAATCACTGGCTGCTCTGTAAAGCTGAGGAACATGGATGTTGTGTGTGAACAAATAAACGTTTCCGCAAATCTTGTGATAGACGAGAACAATATCTGTAACCATGGTAACTATACATGTGAAAGATGGTGACAACTGTAGCCTCAAAATGCTTAATGTTATTAACAATGCCAAACAAAAAGCTGACAAAAGCCACTGATGAAAACTAAAATTGGCAAAGATCAAATGATCTGTGGTTTTGCCAGATGTTAAAATGAGTACTTTTGTGAGAATTGTCCTTTCATCCAGGATTTAGGCAGTTTTGTAGTAATGCTGGCCCTACACTAGAGCGTAATCCCCCCCCTTCCCGATGATCAGGGGCGTATTACTGGCACGAGGCTAGTTGGAACAGATTATCTGCCCAAATAATCGTGTAGTGTGAGGGGTTTACAGACATCATCTTGATGCTACCGATTGGCTCAGAGTCTCCCTGATTTCAAATCATAATTATAAAGTATTAGGGATGCCCCCTGAAAGTCGACTAGTTGAATCATGAGCCGAGAGTGTCGAGGCTCTTCTAGGCGAACCTTTTGTTTTTATTTTAATGTATTTTATTTTTTGTCGGTGTGCATTACAAGAGTTGACGTTTGTACTTTATTAGAAGTGTTTTCAAACATCATGGTCTACTTTTACAAGAGTAAAGACTCGGAACAGTCATGGCGATGTGGCTGCTTTTGTATATGTGCATCCAGTTTGTTTGTCCACCTTCATTAAAGTGTAACTCGCAGCCATTTATCTTATGGTCCTGCCACATGCATCCATCTGAACAGGACTAGGAAGCTAACAAAAATGCACTGGGAAAATATTTCAGTGAGGAGTTAGGAATAAGAGGATTCATAAATATACATTCTTATATTCTTTAGCAGTGCAAGCTGGCATGCATCAAACATAACAGCATGCACTGTGATTAACTAACAAGAGAACCTAAACATGTTGGTAAACTAGGCTATAACCATGTCTCATAAAATGTCAAAAATATCCTGCAAGAAAATTGTTTCAACAGAAATACAAGTGTGCTGCCTGTCTCCTTCCAACAGATCCATATGGCAGCCTGACATTATAGCTATATTCATCAAGTTAAATATGCCACAATTTAAATCTTGCATCATATGCAGCTGTCTATTATTGATTTTTAAATGCTCAGAAATATGTTCTCTTCACTCTTTTGCATTTGAATACTGATGTTGTGATCTAAAACACAACATCAGACAGGTTCTTTGCATGAAAATCAGGTGTTTCCCACCACCTTCTAGTGTTTTTTCACAATATAAAGTTTAAAACCTGTATGCCTTCAGTGGACACTGTTAGTTTCTGCCTCCACAGTTGGTGATGCCATTTCCTTGTTTGACAACCGTCAAGAAGATGACCACGAGGAAGGACCCTTGGCTGCAATACAACAAACCTTGCCATGTCATAATTTTACAGCCGTTATTGTGACGCTACTACGTTTTACACTGTGGACCAGCCTAGATGTTATACTTTTAGCTATGAGACCAGGCTAAAAATCCTAATATGCTCCTCCTGGCCTTTGTTTAGATTTTATGATCTGGCTTGAAAAAGTTCTTGATCTCTTTTCCCTTATCTTTGTCTTCTATCTGTCTTCTTCTCTGCCTCCTTGTGTATTCCCTGTGGAACAGGATGCCTGACCTGGGGCTGTTGAGAAACTTTGGTATTTTAAATGTTTGCATTCTGTGAGACACAGGGAGGAAATCGGATCTAGGGCAACAACTCTACCCTCCAGCACAAGCAACCTGTAGGCACAGGCGCACACACACACACACACACACACACACACACACACACACACATAATGTTCAGAAATGGTGCCAGTGCAGGAAGCACTGTGAATTGCATGGCTGCCTGTAGCTAAGTGCTTTGTGTTGACTCAGGCTCTGTGTGGCACAGACCCATATAACCACAGTGTTGTTTGTTGGGTTTGGTTCATGCCATACTGGCTGGAGAGATAATGGGAAAGGTTATTCTGCTTTACGGTCAAAGCCTTTGTCTCTGAGCAGTGGCTTGGTCTGTGTGGATTGGGGTGGGGGGAGTTGTGTGGCGGCAGCATGATAATGTCAGCACTTCTCATGACATTTGAAAGCGTAATGGCTGAAGTCACTCTGCCTTTCACTGTTTTTCAGGACTCTGGGGCTTTTTTGAATGCCTACCTAACTGTCTGTTCTTCTCTTCCAACCTTAATGCTTCTGAATTTGTAAAATGTGGTGATAATAGTTAATTATTTCAAATAATGTTCAAACCAATATATCGCACCTTGAGTATTTTCATCCCCAACCTTTAACCGTGTTCGAGCTGAGCACTGCCCCCTGAGCCACAAACGTATGAAACAAGCAGGTTAATTCTTACAACCTGAAGCAGTCCTGTTGTTTAGCATATTCCTTTGCCATGGTTCTGTGACTATGAAGCAGCCTATTTGCGGGTGAAAATGAGGCTGATCAACATGCCGTGGGGGGAACAGGAAACAAAGAAATGGGTCATTCCTAACAGCATCTGGTTAGTTTCCTGTAAGTGCTGCAATCAGATTTCTGTTGTTGTTGTTGTTTTAATGTCTGCTCAATCGAGGTGGGAAAGTATTTGCCCCCCCCCCAACACACACACACACTCACCTGACCCATTATGCAGCCTGCTGAGAAGTAATGAGATTTTGTCCCTATTTGGATTTGTGCTCTACCTTCACAAACAGGCCATCCACCGCTGCCTGGGGAATGTAGTGCGGACGGAATTACAGTAAGGGCTAATGGCAGCATTCAGGCTAGGTGAAAGATTGAGGGTGTAGCTGGCTGTCTGAGCAAGAAAAATATGCAAGGAGAAAATGAGTGAAGAGAAAAATTGAGGAAACACGTTTTCGGAGACATGAGACCAGTCTTTCATCTGAAGCGTTCAATCATCAACTGATTTTTGATAAAGGGCTGTGTCGATCCATAAAAGACTTCCACAAAGGAAGCTGACATATGTAAATTTCTGACCCACTGGAATTGTGATATAGTGAATGATTAAAAAAAGAATCGATCTCTAAACACCTGTTGGGCAAAATTACTGGTGTCATGCATAAAGTACTAACCAACTTGCCAAAAGGAGAGTTTGTTAACAATGCCATCTGTGTGGCATTTAACAAAATCAGTAAGTGACATATATCCGGCTCCGGTGTGAACACCTTTGAGCTCCTAAACTGCCAGGCATGCACAAGTTACCACACGCACACAAAAATAATAGTGCCAGCTGTATGATGGGCAAATAGTGCAATTCCCTCAAAAAGTGCTCAGTTACAATATGCTTCTGCATAAATGTTCAACAAAAGTAAAATGTCTTGGTCTCTCCACTGACCCTTGTTGCTGTTGTTGCTATCCATAGTCAGAGTTCAAATATGAATCAGATCTAGGACCACATATGGAAGTGGTCCATATCCAATCTGAAAAAAAAAATCTGATTTGGTTTGTGAAATGATCAGATGGAGATCAGTTCAGTCACTTGGAGGAAAAAACATTTTGAGCCACTTCCAGTCTGAACGTAGCCAAAGTTTCAACCAATGTCTTTCTGATAATATTTATATATGTGTGTTACTATCCTTATTTAGACTAGCATGATTTATTCTGGATTGGGTAAGAGGTTTCCCACCCAAACTCAACGTTGGAATAACAATGAGGAACATTGAAATAGTACCATACATTGGTAAATGTTTGAGTCGCTCATGTGTCATCAATCAGTTTTTGTTATGGCTCACAACATACACAGTAGACCTGGGTAATGCCTCTTAAGGTTGCTTCGGCATAGTAAAGATGCTGTCGGTGCCAGACCAAGGACAGAGTCTGGGTTATGTTTATAGAAGGTTAAAAGGGGGGAGTGTCGACATCTATTTATGACTAATTGTGTCTCTGTGTGGGTTAGCTTGTGTGCAGGCACATAATTTCACAGCAGCTGAGATATAAAACAGAACCGTGCATACGCAGGGGTTTAAAAATCTGGCAGAAACAATGGGTATGCATGTTTTTCTTTATACATTCACCATTGTAGTTTAGAATCTACACAGCATTTGGCTCCTTGTGAGAGGAAACATGCTTGGAAAGCAATTTCTTAGTAATGCTGCACTTGTTGGACTGTGTCAAATTGAAAAATGCTTGATTTCATGTTCATGTTTTTAATTATTTCTCATGCTCTGTTCCCTTTCTGAGTCTTTCACCCCTCTTCATCTTTCTTAATTCGTTCTCTTTCCACTTGGTTCTTACTCTGCTCTCTTGTTTATCTCTTTGGCAGGCTTCATCACAGCAGCTGAAATTCACAACCTCTGACTCCTGTGACAGAATCAAGGATGAGTTCCAGTTCCTCCAAGCACAGTATCACAGGTGCAAACAGAAACACCTACATGCACACAGACACACATAAACAAAGGAAAACACCAAGAAGAAGCAGTTACATATGGCAGCGTGATAAATACAGTACACAGGAAGTATCCTCTATCTCCAGACAATACACTTGTCATGTAGTGTTTTTCTTTATTGTACACATTTACTGTATGTAACAGTAGCTAAAATTTTAAATGAGCCTGCCATGTCTTGGCTTGAGATAATTTTGATGTGAATATATGGTCTTTATAAGGCTTCTTTCAATTTCCAGTTGTGCTTGGAAACAAGCCCTTTTTATTTTGCAGGTCTGTAAAATTAAAATACTTTTCAAGAAAGTTTCCTGGAACTATACTATTTAGCATTAACTGTAGGTAAAATGGAGGCTGCGTTCAGTTGGTAGACTTACAGTTAAATAATTTCTTTTAAATACAAAACCTGGTCTAACTTTTGCAATAGTGTGGCAAGTAAGCATGCCATTCAGTTTGTGTAAGAAAATAATGTTGCTAATAACAAATTCATGATGAGTAAATACTTACTTTTGTTTAAATGGAGAAGTAATCTCTAACTGTTTTTAAAAATCAGCAGTTGCTTTTCAATTCATTACAATTCAAGTCTAAAATGACAGTCTCAGGACTGAGCCTGTAAAACAGACTTTGCAAAACAATGTAGCATGAAGTTGAGCGATACCTCTGTAGTTGACTACGATAAAATGAAAATGTCTACTTTTTTGCACTATTCCTCAGCTCTGCTTATACTGTACACTGCACACTGAGAAATCATCCCTTATTGCCTCATAGCTAAATCAATCTAATTTACCCTTAGCTGTTGCTCTCCCTTTATCGCTTAAGTACTGCTACAGTGCCAGAAGTCTGAGGAACTTCCAAAGTGTCTGGTCCAACCATAGCGGATCAGTTTGATAGCAGTAGCAAGCGCGGGGACACCCCAGGGTCTGGATCTCAGCAAAAGATCCTCTCCTCGTAAGGACTGACTCTTTGAAGCCTCCCTTCCTTCCTAAAGAGGCTAGTTTGTTCCTCGCTACCTGTTACCCCAGAACCTTCCAGAGGCTTGCCTGTGCTGGTTACAGAGAACAGGCAAAAGCAGATGAAAGCCTGGCATACAGTGTGCAAAATCCCTGCTCTGGTCCGATCACTATTGTTTGTGGAGGATTCTGAAGCAGCATTAACATCCTGCTCATCTTTTTTCCTTGCCTTTGGTGTTTGTAATTCCCACAACGGTGAGCAGCACCGTTTAGCCCTCTTCAGAGAGCCAGGGCGCAGTTGAAAGAATACCTTTTTTGTCTGAGTATACAGAACATGCATACAGTTCCTATTGACTCAGAAGTGGGGTTGGGATGGGGTAGGGGCCTTGGGAACCACAGACAAGGCTTTGTAGCACTCTGCTGCTGCACTGTGCTTGTCTGGTGCTGAAGCCTTAAAAGGCAAATGTACCACAGGCGTTCCCTGGGGGTATAGTAGCATGCATTGTAGCTGTCGCTTCCTCTTTCCACCCCCTCCTGTTCCCCCACCTCTTCTCCCCTCCCCTCATTCACATGCATAAATAGATCAGGGAATACATAAACCAAAATAAAGATGACAGCGGGAGCGATTTAGAGACGAAAGAATCGGCAATAAAACTCCATCAAAGTGTCGTTTGAGAGCAGCCGTGCAGGCCCAGGGGCTTTTGAGCACCAATCAGAGGAGGCACAAAGTCAATCCCAGGTAGGCTGGCAGCGGGAGGTCTGTCGTCATGACAACCCACCACACAGCCTACGCATGTACACAGGGATAGCAAGAAGGATTTTATGTAGGAGAGAAGGGGAGCATTTTGGAATAAGTGAAGGCTCATACATGCACACAGGAGTAGGTGCTAGAATAAAAGTGCCCCTCATCACTCCAAAAAAAGCACACCCCATTCTCTCATTCCCTCATGAGAGTGATTAGGTTGGGCATCTGTTGCATACAGTGACATGATCAAACATGATACTCTGACCTGTAAAGAGGAAGGTTTTTTACACACTGCAGGACTTCATCCACACTGCAACAAGCTGTCGGCAGCTGCACGTCCTTGGGTTCCTGGCAGCATTTGGTGACAACTCTTACCTTGCATCATTGAAAGCTTATTCATATCTAGATGTCGACAAGTTGTCTGTTGAGTAAAGAATTTGCCTTCAGATGCTAGCCAACAGTGACTAAGTGAACTAAGAGGAAAAATCAGTTAGCATTAGCTGTGATAGCTTGAGGACCCAATTTTTCTTAACAAGTATATTGAAATTGTAGTGTACAACCTTTTTATAAAAACTAAACATTAAAATGCTTTTATCAACTAACACTAGATTTAAATGTTTAGGTTTTGTTTGATTAAAATTAGACTAACGTCCAGTTTTAGTCAACTACAAATAAAAAGGATGAGGTTGACTAAACAATAGAGGTGTAAGAAAATATTGATCCACTTGAGTATCATGATATTACATTTTGTGATACTGTATTGAATCTCAAAAGCACAGTATCTGTAATTAATAGTTCATATTCCAAGTAGTGCTATGTTTTTGGATGAGACAAATGCAAATGCAGATCCCTGTTCCGATTGCATAAAAAAGTTAAAATCAGTAAAAAAAATAAAGTTATACATATGGTGACGTGTTGCTTATTTTGTGACAGTTTTTCAAAATTGTAATATATTGTTTACATTATCACAATAAATCGAATGATAACCCCTGTAATGTGATACGTATTGTATCACCAGATTCTTGCCAATACACAGCCCTATTAACTATGATTAAACCTATCATGCACTGTGGATCTCAGGACGCAGATTAAATCTAAAATAGCTGACACAAATAAACACTTGTGTTAGGCTGTACATAAATTTGGTCCTGATTTTCAGTCTTCACTCTTTTCATAATTGGGGTTTCCACGTTCATAAGAGATTCCTTCAGATCAACTAAATTGTCCCTTAATGTGAATGTGCTTTTTTTATGTCTCTGCACTGGTGATAGCCACAACCAAAAGCTCTATGTTTTTGGTTTGTCCACCCACCCCTTCCACTGTACATCTGTACAGCCCATTCTTGTGAATGCGATATCTCAAGATCACCTTAAGAGATTTTCTTCAAATTTGGCACAGATCTCCACATGGACTCAGGATTGAACTGAGATTTTGGTAGCCAAAGATCAAAGGTCAAGGTCAGTGACTTCACGTCTGTCCATTCTTGTGAATTTGACTGGTTGGTGGAGGCAAACATTCACAAAGTTATCATTCTTTGTGTTATAGCAGTGGACTGGCAACCTCAAGGGTGTTTCTCTGCCTTTTCCCATTGCATGCTGCATTAGTTTCCAGTTCACAAAGTATATCCATTGTGAAACTATAAGAATTGCTAAGGTAAAGTAAAAACTGAAAATGTTTCGTCATGTCAAAAAAAAAAACCCAACAACAATAATTGACAAATATAAGCACAAACATGAACTCAAGCTGGAACTGTTTTTTAAACATCAAATAGATATGCATAGTTCAGTGTCATAATTAATAATAATAATTCATTAATAATTTGTGTCATTAACAAAACTGGAGCTCAGACTGGGATGAACATGCAACCAAAACTGAAGTAAGCTCCAGCCAACGCTGCTGCTGCTGTGGTAATTATAGAAGAAGCTTAATACTGTGTGTCTGAGTAAGCTCACTTTATTGGCTATGTGTAACACTGTTTTTAGTCAGCCAGTGAAGATGAGCAGCGATGAAGATTCAGCCAGTGCTTGTTATAATCGAGCTGTTATTCCTGCAGACAGTTGAGAAGAACATCCCAGCATAAATATACATGCACCTACACAACAGCTTTCAGACTTGTACTAAATCTGAACCTGTGCATATCTGTGTTTGTCTTATCCAGCCCTCACATGAGATGATGCCGTCTGAAACTGGCACATCATAACTGGCTGCTTCGATCCAAGGCTTTTTCTTTTCTTCTTCTAAACTGCTGTCTTTTTCATTTGATGATCGGCTGACTTGTTGACGCGTCCTCCTTTGTCCTGTCACCTTGCGTGACATCAGAGCTGACATGATTACAGCTAATGGCTGTCACAGGGACTGGGTCACAGGAAGTGCTATATTTAGACTTTTTACTCCACTGCATCTTCTCTGATTTAGAAAGCAGGCATTTTGTCTAGACACATCTCTGAAGTTCAGAATGAGTTTGACCTCCTCCTGTCAATCGATGCCTTGTCGAACCTGGTGACAAGGCTGCCGCAGGCTAGTAAAGGTCAGGATAATAATGGTGGTAATGATGATGATGATGGAGGTGGTGATGATGATGATAAAGATGGTAATGGTAGCTGAGATGATGACAGTGGAAGTGGTGCTGATGACGATGAAGGTGGATGCAGTGATGAGGGTTGAAGTGATGATGAAAGTGCTGTTGGGGAAATCAGAGGTAATGATGATGAAGGGGAGAAGAAGTCACCTGGTGTCAGCACTTTAGAAGGAAGATTGTCAACTAACGGTCTGACTCTATGCTCCTCTCCTCACCCTCTCTCTCCAGTTTGAAGCTTGAATGTGACAAGTTGGCCAGTGAGAAGTCAGAGATGCAGCGCCATTATATCATGGTGAGTGAAGCCTTGTGTATGTGTGTATTGTTGTGCACCAAAAATTATGGGTTGTGTATTTTTAAATGACTTTTTTTCACAATATATTTTGTCATTGTAATATTTGATTCTAATGTAGCCTGTAAGTTGTTGCAAATGCAGCACTGCCTGTGTTTATATGCAAAGAAATTCTATTATGTGTTCACCCCCTCTGAAAATAAGTTTGTTCACCAACTTCCTTTTGCAGTTCACTTGTTCTCCCATGTGTCTTTTCAAAATTTCTACCTTAAAAGGTAATTCTAGTTTATTACAGATTACATTATTTTCATTGGCTTGACCATCTATGTAGAAAAGCTGTGCTCACAAAGACACTCGCTGTGATCTGGCAGTGCAGCACCGCCATGAACCACAAGTCAGACTGGGGAAGAAATACCAGCACTTACATGTTTTAAACATATCCAAAGGGTTAACCAATAGGAGTTTGGATTGCACAGTTCATTTTGAAGTCTTTGAATTCAAATTGAACTGTTCAGTTTGAATTCTGTTTTCTAGCTCTTGCCTTAGTTCACTCAAATTTTTAGTTCACTGAATTGCAATAAAAATCATATATGGCAGTTCAACTACTTGGTCTTATTGCTGTCTGACTGGAAAAAAAATCAGAGAGAGGAGTCTACAACTATGCAGCTTTTTCATTTGAAAAAGTTTGTTAGAATATAAAAGTATGTGACAGTCTTCAGCCTCTAGAGGAATGATGAAATGAAAGTGTACTTTTCTGACAACCACCACCTGGAACATCTCAGGTTTTTGTGGAATCAGACAATCTCTGTGCTCTGCTGTGCTCTTACTAATGCTCTGCCTCCAGCAGTGTGCTGCAAGTAGCAGGGAAACCTATTGGCATCCATAATGTTGAATGGGGCCCAGTTTATAATATTAATTTATTTATTCAACTTTGACCTGCTGTAGTTGTGTGCATACAGTCTCGTTCAGTGAGGGTTAACTGCTGAGTTTGTATGCACACACTCTTGGTTTTACCCACATAATGTTTATAAAGATGGATGTTGTGGCAGCTCCCAGAAGTGAAGCCACCACAAGTAAACCACCCCCTGTTGTCTGGTTGTAGTATATATCGTAAACTCCGCCCCCTCCACGTTAGTGGATGGAACTTGAGGCAAACCAAAAATTCAAAGTACAAATCAAATAAATCACCTTTTCCCTGTGGTGATTTCTGTTATTTTAGGCAGGTACTATCACACTAATTTGTGTACCGGTGCTCATTTTTCTGATATTTGCTTTACAAAAATTATTTGTTTATATAAAATTGGGAGTATTCTGGATGACTTGGCAGCTTTGATTGGTGGCCTGATACATCGGCTCCATCTCTGGCTGCTATTGTGCATATTCTGGTTCAAAAATGTGTCACAAAAGCAAGATGCCTGTCCCTGTATTTGCAGTATTTTGGCTTTACCTTTTATTGGCATTAACTGGTAACATGTCATTCATTTTTATATACGGTGGTTGTACCAGCAAATAAAGATGGATAATATGGCTAAACTGCGGCCTTGTTAACTACCGGTCTAATTATTTGACATCTGGTTTTTGCTGTTCTGTTAGACTAGTTTTTAGTAACGTCACTGTACTTTGGGATCTAAATTTTTAACTTGCTTAGGACAATAGTATCACAACAGCTACAAATGTAAGACCCTATAGCTAAAATAAATGGCAGTTATCTTTGACTATTCACTTCCTTCTCTCCCCAACCCCCTTCATTTCCTCTTCCCCCATGTTTCTCTGCCTCTCTCCACATACTCTTTCATCCACACACACACAGATGTGCTTGCCCGCTCTCTGCTCCACCTCGGGGCTAATCTCATTGTCGCTGGCCGTGGCTGTGTAGCCGTCTGATGTTTTGCCTCTAATTGATCCTCTGACTGGCTTTAATCTCATCTAATCTGTGCCGCTGCACTGCTCTCTACACCACCAGCCAGGCAGCAGAGACACACACTTCTTCTGTGTGTGTGTGTGTGTGTGTGTGTTTCAGCTAGGCATGAACATATACATTGTCAGACACACAGACTCAGGCATTGTCAGTCTGATAGCAGTGGAGCATACAAATAAACACACACATGCTGACACGAGCACAATCATGCAAATGGATGTAATGAAAACATGATGGCACAAATATCTGAATTTAAAAATTGTCTAAAGCTGCGTTGTTTTTATTTAGTATGTTTAATTACTGCAAATTATCCAGATCAAGTTAAAAGTTGAATTAAACATTTATGTGGTTTGCAAAGGCCCAGCTTCCCCAATTACCCAAGTTTACAGGATTTCTTTAATGGTTGAGTAAATGTCCGGCAGGATGCTTGGTAGCTTACAGGCTGATATTATCACCACAAAGTATTAATGTAAAACTGAGAGTTTTCATTAGTTTGGTGTTAGTCAGTTTGTAGTGCACTGTGCAGTGAAACTGTTTTGTTTTTACCCCAAAGTGTTTTTTTTCCTAACTGCTACCCTTAGTATGTCTTTATTTTGAAGAATACTGCAGTTCACTCTTTATGTTAAAACACTGAAAGAACCCAGACAAAGCCGTTTACATGTAAAGACTATTAAGAGGGTTAATGGAAAGTTCTGCTCTGTCAGTCTGTTTTTTTCTGCTGTGTGCAGGATTTAACCCTTTAAATATTGTAGCGCCACCTCATCAAGCAGGCATTATAAACGTAAACTTTCACATTCCCGGAAATGACTAAATATGTCTACCAGTAATGAAAAAGACAGTATTATACAGCTTTTTCATCTACTCTTCGGCAAACATGGCACAGAAACCATAAGAAAAAGTATTATCCCTGTTGTATATGGTGACTTGTTGACCTATTGTGTAGGTGACAAAGGCTGTCACTTCTGTTTGAGTTGGGTGGAGGGGGTATGAAATATTCAATCAGCAATGATCTGACCCAAATGAAAATTCACTGTGTTTAAGTATGTGCCACATTCCTAAACTGCAAATAACTTTGATCTCTTACATGTCCACTGAACTGATGAATTGTTCCTTTAAGTTGGGCACACACTTAACAACAGGTTAAAACTTAAGACTGAGCACACTTAACAGCTGTTTCTACCAACTTGCGCAGATTTTTAGTCCTTGATAGTCGGGAATCGGCACACACCTAACAACTGAGAATTGCTGTGGACAACACGCTTAACTTGAGTAAAGACAGGAAGGTCTGGCAGTAGACATACCGGTAAGCCCTGCAAAATCTTGTGTTGACTTGTACCAAAAAAAAACATGGGCAGCAGTTAGCAGTTGGCGCTGTTTATATGTAGTGCAATTTGCGCTGAGAAGACCAAAAAAAGAGGACAAAGTCACAGAGTTTGGGTGAGATCATGGATGGAGTAGTGTGAACAACCCAGACTGTATACCCCACAAAATTAACTGGAGTGCAAAACATAGCAAACATACAGTTGGTGACACTTTCCATCAGTGGCGTGTCCATGTCAGCTCGATCTGATTGGCTATTGCTGGTTTCTGCTAAATATTCCGTCGCTCTTCCTGAAATTGAAATTGTAAATATCAAAGATTTACAATTTGAAATCAAATAAATTCTGAACCAGTTGTGAGCATTAAAATTGTCTATAAACCCCTCACACTACAGGATCATTTGGGTAGATTATCAGTTCCAACCAACACACAAGTCAGGAACACACCTCGTGATGTGGAGAAACATTTTCGAAGAATAACAGAGCTACAACAATTGAATTAATTGATTAGTCGATCACCATAAAATGTATCTGAATCTGTTTTGATAATAGATTCATCATTTTAATCAAGTCTTAGGCCACAATTCCAAACATTTCTCTTCAAATATGAGCATTTGCTGCTTGTCTTTTTCATATCTGATAAAAAAGTGCAATCAGTCAGTCGAGTGCAACTGTCTACAGCATAGTTACCACAGCAACAAATCTGAAGTCACCTGTCAGATTGTTGAATGAAGTAAATGGCATCAGTAGAAGTGAACTATGAATGTTGCTCACCCTCCTTCAGTCTTTGTCTTTTAACCTAATTCCACTCTTAACGATCAGACAGCTCTTTGAAGTTGTGTAAGCCTGTTAAAATGTCGCCCTGATGCTGAAATGTCCTCACAATGATGGTATCAAACCATAATCTGTCCACACAACCATAGAAAAGCATGCACTCACCATGTGCATACACACATGCACTTTCAATTGCACTTCCACTCCATCAGTGGCAAGCCTGGCCTTGTATCCCCGCAGTGCCCCCACCCCCTCTCTAATAGCATATCAGGTTGCCCCACTCCCCCGGCCAGCGACAGCACCTCCATTTCCCCAGCGCTGTAATTACATTAGGGAGCTTCCGCGTGGGCCTGAGCAGCTACAGAGAAAAAGAGAGAGAGAGTGTGTGTTTGGTGTGTGTGTGTGTGTGCGTGCATGCATGCGCATTCACATACAAGATAGTGTCAGTGTGAGATCGAAACAATGTAGTGTGTGTTTGAGGGAGTGCAAGAAAGTGAGAGAACAGTGCATGTGTGTGTGCACAATTATGTGCGAGAGAGCCGTGTGCTGTTTGTTTTCCAGTGACAGAGCCAGTCCCCCCGCAGACAGAGTGGGTGATTAACAGGGTTGACGCCTAGAGGGTGGCCCTCTCATTAACACTGAACACTCACACAACAGAGGCTCTGTCTCTGCTGTCTCTCCTTTTCTCTCTCAGTGCCTTTTCCTGTTTGTAGCAGTGTGTCTTCTCTTCTCGTTGTATGTGTGTATGTGGGTGCGTCTGTGAGTGGGAATATGCCTGGAGAATGAAAATGTGGGATCTTAGGAGTCCTTAAGATGTCAAAGATGTGTCACACTGCCTTGAGGATCTCCTTTGTGCAGAGCTTCTATTACCTAGATTATAGCTACATGAAAATGAATTGAGGCACATATTTACTGTTCTAGTTCCACTGAGCACTGCTCTTCATTCTGTGATTGATATGATATAGTGGTACACAATTTTGTACTGAATTAACACTAAGAAATGACCAAAGTTATACTTTTTATTTTGTTTTTTCCAAAATGGTTACCACGTAACCTCTATGTCTGTGGTTGAATTTCTAGCCGAGGGACTGTTGTTGTATGTCATACTGTACCCCTGTCTGTCTATCCTTGTTTCTTGTCTCTCTCTACCAAATAAAGGTAAAATGCCCCAAAAAATCATCTTACAGATTTCCAGCAATTAAAGAGAATTTTAGTCTGCTTTACCATTACAGTATAATCCACACACATTCAACTATACATGGTTTTTTAATACAAATTTTATTGACCAATTCTCAACATATACATTTCATGCCTGCGAGGAAGACTTCATTAGTAGCTCCAGGCTCTGTATTTAACTTGAACTTCTTCGCTTCTCAGCTCTTGCCCAGGGAAACAATTTCGTTTGCTTTTCTGGTTAGCTTCTTAATTTCATCAACTTCCATGCTAATGCTAGCATTATTCTCCTTGTGTATGATTCTTAACGATTGCCATGGTGATGCTGGTTTTAACTACAGTAACTTACACCAAAAAAAAAAACCCACCAACTAGACTTGGGGTGTGTCCTCAACTTAAAGCATAAACTTTAAAAATACCTTTTAATGTTGGTGGTCCACATCAAGACAGCAATGACAAGGCATCATTTCTGACAAATTAAGGTGCCTGCACTGGATGCATTCGCTCACTCCGCTGTCTTGAGACCAACTATACATGGTTTGTCACACACAGATTAAGTGGTAAATAATGTTAGCATGGCACTCCTTTTCTAAAGGCTTTTCTAGGAACAGTTAAAGGAGTTCTGTCGCACACATGAATAAGATAATCCAGGACTGACAGTTGACAGACATTAACCATGAATAGAGGCAATTCAGTGTTGCTTTTAGTTTCCATATGGAGATTGCTGAAAATACTATTAATATAGAAAATGACTGGCCTTATCCTTTAATTTTCTTTTTGTCTTCCTCTCTCCTCCTTTCCAGTACTACGAGATGTCCTACGGGCTGAATATTGAGATGCACAAACAGGTAAGTCTACATTTAATCCCTTTAGAGAAAACTCTTCTGTTCCCATCACATAACACATGAAACTGTTACATGTTCATGTATAACAAATTGCTTGTCCAAAAAAGTACTGGAGCACAGAAGGATGTGTTGCTTTACTTGAGGGACAGGCTGGATTCAAACTGAGGGATAGTGTGTTTACGGAATTAAGACAGTGGCTGTCAAGACTACAAGTCCTTCATCATAGTCTATCATCACAGTTGTTTGTTCACCTGGGAGAGTTTCATGGCCATCAAAACCTTGGAAGTGCTCCAGGTGCCACTCACCTAACATCATCTATGCAAAATTAGAGAAAAAGACTTTTACTTCCAGAATGTCGAAAATAACTCTTCACACTTTGCTACTCTGTTGGTGCAGACACATCTGTGCATTCCCAGCCCCATTCCTGCACCGTACACCTGCAGGTCACTGATTGGCAGGTGTGAATTGCAGAGTTAATCTCCCATCACTTAGGGAGTGTTCTGAGACATTTGAATGATGTCACCCAAGGCTGTGTGTCACATGCTTATATGAGGTCTTCTTGTTTGTTTTTTCTTTTGCTCTTGCCAAAGCAGATTTTAGTTCACTCTGTATGGAAATGTGTATATAGAAGTGAATTTTATCAATTCCAGGTCTTGCAAACTTTAATCCCATTGTAGTTTTGAGTCATTTCATACAATGTGCATGATGATGTGGCAACTAGTGTTGTAGTACTTGAGAGCCGTCTTAGTCTCGAGACCGGTGTCAAGACCAGTTTTTGAAGAGCTTTGTCTCTTCTCAGAATCAACCACGATTTTACACAGATACTTTCCCCACATGCATTGTTAGTTTTATTTCTTTACATCATTACCAAGGTTTTCCATGCCATATCAACACTTAGGTGCAGCAAGCTCCTTAAGCTGAATGAACGTTAAAAGGCAACACATCAGAATGAATGCAAAAACTTGACTACAGCACTAGTGGAAACAAATGCTAAGGTTATGCATTTCTGCAATAGCATTGTCATTTTAATAGAAAATCATATTAGTAGCTTCCCTGAATCTTTAAATTCAGTGAAGACACTGCAGTTGGATCCAATAAAGCATTTTCAAACAGAAAAGAAAAGGAAGGGAAGGGGTGAGAAACACGTCTGTACATCAGTTTGTGCAGCTGAAGCTGGGGGAGTAATTTATGCCCAGCCTGTAGGAGGGAGAGAGTGATGGGCCTCACAAGGGCCAGCCCTTATCGGTGACCTCGTCTGGCACTGCCTGTCCACACACACACACACACGCACACAAACTGTGTTATGATTGACGGCGCATGCTGACAGCCATATTGGAAGAACCAAGTGTGCTTTGACAAATAGAAACACACACACACACACACACACACACACACACACACAGAAATAACAGCTTCCATGATTTAAAGACCTTCACATATATGCATCTGCACAAACTCTGAGGTAGGACTACAAGACAACCTCTGTGACACACACACAGATTATTACAGGAAAGCAAGCACACACACTAAGCCTTATGTGTGTGATTCATCACACCCTTACCCTTTTATCTGACAGGGATAAAATTCACAGTCACCAGTATGGTTGTGTGCGTGTTGTTTTATGGGTGTGACATTGTATATTTCTTTTCAAAATGTGTTTCTATTTGAGAGGGTTGAGCCTGCCTGCATGTGCGTTGGTTTGTGTGTGTGTGCATGCATGTGTCCCTCTGTATTTGCACATATGCTTGCAAATTAGTGTGTGTTATACTGCCATGTGTTCATAAGCAGTTGTGTGTTGTTCATGTGTGCTCCTGTTACCGTGTGTGTGTGTGTGTGTGTGTTCAGTTTCTTTGTGCACAGTGTGAGTGGGTACAGAGTCACTAGTTCCATTAGAGAGTTGAAATTGAAGGGGATGTGTGGAAACGAGTGTCGAGGAGCATTCATGTCTAGGCCTATTGTGCAGAATCCCCCCCTCCACCTCTGTCTCTATTTCCCTCTCTTTCTTTCTTTCTCACACTTGCACACATTCAATTGCTCCCTCTTGATCACTCTGTCCTACTCAATTCCAAAAATGCCTCTCTGCTGTCTGTTCACACTCTCTCTCTCTGTTCACTTGTCATTCTGTCTGTTTTATCTTGATGAGGAGGAGCAAGGTTGAGCTGGGGAATAAACTGGGAATATGTTGACTTGATCCATTGTATCGCTATATCTTTCTGTTGTTCTGTTTTTGTTTGTTATTCTGTCTGTCCTACCTGACAACATATGGTTGCACTTATTTTTTAACTGTGTATATAGGTATTTTAATTGTGAGTAATTTTCTCAAGTAGTCATCATTCTGTGCAGTATAGGACTTCTTGTGTATTAATCTATACTGTCTGTAGTTCAAAGTGGCAAAGCTCTCTGGACTAGTTGCTCTTGTCAGCAGTTCTAAATGAAGTATCTAGGTCCTTTAGTTGAATAAAGGTGGCTGAGCAGAAATAACTGATTTTTGTTCAACAGAAAATGAATTAACAGCTTTTCTGATGATTATTAGTTATTAAACAAAATAGCCAGTCTTTTACCAGCTTCCCAAGTCTGAGAATTTGCTGAATTTGAATCATAAACTGAATTTGGGGGAAATGTATATGATTTTTCATTATTTTCTGGCATTTTATAGTCCACACAGTTAATAAGTAAAATGATCAGCTGATTTATATGCTTCTGTGTGTACAATATTTCTCTCTGCAGTGTATTAAAGTAGAATAACAACATGCATATAAAATGTAAACACTCAAAGTATAAGCGCATGAAAATGGGTTTTTAAGAACAGGACATGAAACAAATGCACTCCATTAAATTACACCACTGCATGTCAGGTTTTATGACTGTGCATAGGAAGGTGTGATAACTCAAATGTAGCTTTTAAATGTGCAAAAAAATGTTTGTTTTTAATTTCTGTACAATCTATGAAGATATTTAAAACTGTGAACGAATCCTAGTGTATTCCAGACATGAAGCAGTAGCGCAAGGTACTCAAGTAGTGCATCTCACTTAGGGACAAAACAGGACACCCGTAGGAAGTCTCTGAAGTGTTAAGATTGTTTAGGCTGCCTTGAAACGCATTTTAAAAGAACCTGAAGACATTTTGTTTCTGTTTGCTTTCCCTTTTGAGCCTACAGTTTCAAATCACAAAAGATAAAGCCCATTTAAATTGACAAAAAGCAGCAAAGACATTTCCAACAGCAAGGAATTCAGGCTCTTGCTGGTCCTTGACATATTTGTTCAATCTCCCAGCTCAGTTTTATATTGTGTATGTTTTATTTGCACACATCTAATGCTCTTTTCAGTGGATGTGTGTGCTCCAGTAGCACTTGAGGAAAGCTTAAAAGAGTAACAAGAATAAAACAGGACAAAAGAGAGAAAGAGGCATTCACACAGAAGAAAGTTGAAGGAGAGACAGAGGGGAAAATGATAGAGAGCATAGATAAAAGACGCAGGACTGGAATAAAAGAAACACCATATAGGGCACTGAAAGAGAGGAAGATCCATAGTTAGCATGGAGCAAGTCCCACTGAGACATTTTAGAGATGTCAGGGAGTGTGTATGTGTAATCATGAGCGGATAGGAGTGAAGCGCTTGATGGGGAGCTGTGCTCTGCATGCCTAATGACTGTTAGGAGGGCCCCTCTCTCCTCATCGTGCCACGAATTAGGCTATAACACAATTACTGCTGCTTTGCGCATCTCAGACGGATTGAATGATTACCAACCAAACGTGATAATAGACCTGTATGTGAGAAAGATAGGGAGTGTGTATGACAAGAAAGAGGAAAGTATTTTCATGTGTGTGCTCGTCTGAATGATTGTTACCTTATGTGTGTTTGTGTGTGCATGTATTTGCATGATAGTATGTGTGTGAAGAGTTTTGAGAAAGAGTATCAAGCACAAACAACTTAATTAAGGAGGTGGATATTGCTGATAACTGTGTGTGTATGTGTGTGATCCCAGATATGTGTGCCCCAGCTTGTGAAGGTCATAGCAGACATTTGGGAGTATGAATTACTGACGTTTAAAGGCCAATTCACACTGAGAATGTTCTTAGGGGTCTTTTTGTATGCATCTTATGCAACAGATAGAAATCCATTGTATCAAATGTGCCATTTCACTCTGACTCTGATACACATGCATTTTACATGTCACCCCTGGATTCTGCAAGGTTTTTTATTTTTTTTTACACTTCAGGTCTTTTTGTTCCCCTCTGGAGCATTTAATGAAGCATAATCTGCACGGACAGCTGTTGAAATAATACAGATCTCCTGTTACTTTTGCTGACTTTTTACTAGTGTCTTTAATGGCAGCTTTTTGGTTTCATTTCCCTGCCTTCTGTAGTGCGTTGGAACAAATCAATAAAATGAATAAATCCATTCATAAAAACATAGCTGGGTTCTTACTGATGAACCTACATGAAAACTATGTAGTAGTTAGCCGTTTTCAGGTGACAAACAACTGCTCTGATGATAAAAAGCCTTTTTCAGACATGCACTACAACCCTGAAATGATCTAGAGATTACCTAAAGGAGGAGTATGTGTCAACGGAAATGTTGATTATGACCAAATTACAAACTGGCTATGTGAGTGCATCATGTTTTTGCTTCTGCACGCTGTGCACTTGTTAAGTGTGACAAAACATTCCATTTCCAGGTCCAAATGCCCCCAGACCCAAATGGCAGAGCCTGTCACCCTCTACACAACATTTTTAGAAAAAACCATCATTGAGAATAAAAAAGGGCTAAATTCTTTCATCTCAAATGGTGTAGTCAGTGCAGCCATTTTACCTAGTGGCATAAGTCAATGTATATTGTTTAACTTCATGCTAACTAGTTAGCTACATTACAAGGCAGCAAAACAGTGCACCTTTTGAAGTTTTATTTAAATAATTTAAGAATACTGTGATTTGCTTAATCAACTGTAGCCATTTCTTTTTCTCCTTGTTATCACAAGGAAAGCGATAAATGACAGCTGAATCGTGATTTTTGATTCAGATCTATTGAAACAATGGGGAACGCAACGCTATGGCACATTGAATTGAGGAGAATGAACCAAAGTTTGGACCAAGAAATGGAATGTTCCTTCACTAGTTAACAAGAGGATGCCCAGGCATCCCTTAGTAGTAAGTAAGTAAGTAAGCTTTATTTATATAGCACCTTTCATAAATAAAATCACAAAGTGCTTCACAAGGCCAACAGATACTAAAGCAGAACAAACAAAATAACAATATAACAGAAAGCAAAAAATAACATAAAAATAAAAGAACAGACAAACATATTTAAAACCAAAGCTAAAAATCAACTAAAGGCCTGTCAAAAAAAGGGTGTCTTCAACTGCTTCTTAAAGCCATCGACAGATTCGGCCATAAAGAAAGGGGCAATGAATTCCACAGTTTAGGAGCCACAACCTGAAACGACAGGTCCCCCTAGTCATCAAACAGGTTTTGGGGACCATCAAGATGGCCTGACTTGAGGAACGGAGAACACACTTTGGACAGTATGGGGTCAATAGATCAGCAATATACTGAGGAGCCTGACCATGAAGTGCTCTAAATGTTAGCACTAAAATTTTAAAATCAATCCTAAACTTAACTGGTAACCAGTGAAGTGAATATAAGACGGGCGTGTTGTACCCGATACTTTTTACCATGCTAACTCTGAGAGACGAAGCAGTCCAAGTAACTTCAAAACAGTGCTGATTTATTCAATGAACACAGGTAAAAATTAACATTACACGCTCAGGTATCTTGCACCTCCAGCATTTTAAAATAAAGTGCAAACAATTCTAGTGTACTAAAAGTTCTGCCGAAAGAGTAATGCCACTATCACTGCAACTCAGATGTTTGAGAAACATCAGAAGGACACCTCAAAAGGTTGCATGAATCCTCTGAATAGTCAGATTATTCCTAAAGATACGTCGACTGTAACGAGAAGCGTCAGATCCTTACACAGCCAACAGAAGGCATTTGGGGAAAAACAGGCAAGCTTATCTAATCAAACTTTGCCTTTGCTGAAAGATGAAAGACCTTGAACCACAACAGGCCTATACATTATATCACTTCGGGCTAACCCCATTCTACAGAGAGAGACACCAAACCGTGATGTCTCCCGGTGCCAGCTTTGCAGCTGGCCAGAGCAGTAGTCAAAACATGAAGAAAATCAATGTGTGAATGTCTGTTGATTATGTGGTGTGTAGCTAAAAACATTCTAACACGACCTCTAGTGACATGTCATGACATTAAACATAAGAAAATATTATGGCTAAGGCTACAGTTATACACATCATAATAATAATATTAACCATCCTGTCTTCTAACAGTAATCAACTTTCTATCTAGTTATCCTGGACCATAAGCAACCTGCAGCAACTCATGAGAATGCCTAAGCATTTAATAGCCTGAGCTAGACATCCTGTCTACTCTAAACATTTCTAATACATCAAGTATCTAACCAATTTCTATCTGACTAAAAATACCTAACAGGTGTAATATGAGCTGTCCTAGAGGTTCCTGTAACAAGCCTCGCTGCAGCATTCTGCACAATCTGAAGACGATTTAAGGATGACTTATTACAACAAATAAGAATGGAATTACAATAATCAACACGTGAAGAAATAAAAGCATGAACAATCATTTCAAAATCAACCTTTGATAACATTTTCCTTAATTTAGCGATGTTCCTCAGGTGATAAAAACAATTCTTAACCACCTGTCTTAAGTGACAATCAAGAGACATAGACTGGTCAAACACAACACCAAGGTTTCTGAGGCTTGACTGGACAGAGGAGCCCAATAAACCCAGGCGTTGTCTGATTAATGCAATCTTATTATCCGGCGCAATAATCAGCACTTCAGTCTTATTGGGATTTAAATGAAGAAAATTATTTTTAAACCAGTTCTTGATTGACAACAAGCGCTCTAACAATATGGCCAAAAAACTGAGCCATTAAAAGAACAATAAATTTGAATATCATCAACATAAAGATGATAAGATCGCTAAGATAGGAAGAAAACCACTGGAGGACAGATCCAGAGAACCTTAATTCAAACTGAAGCCGATCCATCAAGATTCCATGATCAACGGTGTCAAAAGCAGATGTTAAATCATAAAACCAGGACTTTATAACGACCGGAATTCGTGGTCATCCTTATGTCACTTGAGACCTTAAGTAGGGCAGTCTCAGTGAGTAATCGTGTTAAATAATCATGATCTCAATATTTGTTAGCAGTATGAGAAATTTAGAATAATTTTAGTTTTGTCCTTTAACTAAAAATCTCTTCTTCTCCAGGCTGAGATAGTGAAGAGATTGAACGGGATCTGCGCACAAGTCCTCCCCTATCTGTCTCAGGAGGTAAGAATACACACACATCCTTTGAAACAAATACATCACTAACCCTGTGACCCTCAGCCCTCTTCCATACATCCTGGAATGAGATCACCCTCATTCCCACCTTATTACCTCTCCACCTCTGTGACCCCTCACTCAGCATTCCTCCTTCCCTCCTCCTGTCATTCATCATCACTTGCTTGCTGTGTTCCTTTCCACCTCGCTTTTATTTTATTCCTCCCTCCCCCACCTTGATATTCTACAATATTCAGTGTGTCCCGTCCTTGCAGTCTTCCCTTCCCTCTCCTTTTTTTACAGCCTCCTATTCCTCCTTCCCTCTCCTTTTGCTGCCTCCTCAATCCCACTCCTCTTTTCTTTTATACACGTGTGTGTGTCAGTGTAATCAATGGTCGTGTGATTCAGATAAGCCATGCTCTTATCTACCCACCAGGGGGTTGACCTCCACCCATTACAGCACACCAGCCAACCATCCATTCACCGGTGTCACACAAGGCTTTTGAGTGTGTGTGTGTGTCTTTGTGCAGGTTTGTGTGTATGTACTGTATGACTGGATGAATAGCCGAATGGCCGGAGGGGTTGTGTATCACCAGTTGTCGGGTCTCTGTTGGGACTATTGATATTGATCTAACCTCTCCACCTCTCTCCCCTCCAACTCTCCTCCCCTTCTTTCTGTCTTGCTTTTATTGTTTCCTCACTTTCTTCCTCCCTTTTTCACCCCCACCCTAACCCATCGTCTCCAGCACCAGCAGCAGGTCCTGGCGGCTATAGAGAGGGCCAAGCAGGTGACCCCACCAGAGATGAACTCAATCATAAGGGTACGATGTTCCAGCCTCAAGCCTGGCCTGTGTGTCTGATCTGATGATGGCTAGAAAGGGGCAGTTATTGATCATTATCATCAGTTCGATTGCTTTCTTTAACGACCTTTATTTACTGGCCTTTTGTTTGTCAGATGCTTCACATCTGTGCTTTGAAATTAGATGGACAATTTATTTAATTTTTTTTTATAAAATCAAAAAAATACATAGCTGATGTTTTTAAGTGCTTTGTTGAGTGAAAAACCTTACTTTTATAAATGTTGGGCCCTCCTTCACAACAATAATCCTAATCTAAATTAAATGCTACTGAATGAATAAACATAATAGCATAGCAGTTTAGCATATTTATGAAACCTAATTTTTAATTGCTAGTAAGCCTTTGTTGATTCAAGTGCCAAATCAGAGGAAATTTGAAGTGATTTAGTATTATACCACTATAAAGTTGTCTGTTATATTAAATTATGAAATATCTAAATTGAACCTACAGAGATTGAAATATAATAATATTTTTAGTATGAACTCATAAAATTGCTGGATCCTGCAGTTCAACTTGATAGCATCTTTAATCGCTTGGTAAATGCTTACAGCTACTGTATCACTCTATGCCAGGGGTTTTCAACTAATTGTGACCCAGAGACCACCATTCTGACTAAGAAGTAACCTAAGGACCACTGTTGTGGGGTGGATAGACTGGATGGGCACTATTTTAAGTCACCTGGGCTTTTTTTAAATGTTATATATTTGCATAGATTTGATAATTCGCAAATAATGAATAATACATGGAAACTGGTTTTTACAAGTAAAAAAAAAAAGATAATTCCTACAGTGAATTATTGAGTGCATGGTCAAGGACCACCTGCAGTGTCTTTGTGGACCACCAGTGGACCACTGTTTGAAAACCAATGCCTTTGCTTTGTACGTCAGGCTTTATATTAAAATATGTAGTCTCCGGGTCTTTTCATAGGCTGAGCTGTAGTCTTCAGGACTAGTTAACTGATTTCCGTGTATACAGTTAAATGAAATGCCTCTTTCAGCTTTTGTTTTCATTTTCACCATTTGTGAGTATGAAGGTATCGATGATTTTGTGGCTAGCAAAAACACTAAATCAGAGTAGTAGCCAGTTAGCCACAATCTGCCAGCTTTATGGTTGTAATGTTCTTTATCAATATCAGCCGTGTGCTAGCTATCTTAGCTATCCCGTCTTTTTACCATAGGTTTAGTATTAGGAACGTAATGAACTGATGGTGCTGAACTCCCCTTGCTCATATAAAGTTATACATCTTATGACTGGATTCACAATATGATTAAGCTGCAATACAGATTTACACAGAGATTCCTGATGAATGATGCAGTGAAGGAAAATAATATCCTGGTCAGGGTTTTCCTCTCACTTTATCCTGGATTCTTTTCAGCAGCCTGACGTTTTTTCCAGTTAAATTTGGCGATCCATCCGTGGTGACATTGACAAGTAGCTTCATTCTCTTGATGACAGCAGAAACCCGGTCATACAAGTCCTCTCCTCGTGTATTTCCTTTCAGGGACTCCATGGCCAAAAATTCTTCCGTTATCTCAAACCTGTCGTTAATCCCTCGGATAAAAATTAGGAGCTGAGCAGTGTCTTTTATGTCGTTACTTTTATCCAGTGCTAGTGAATAAAACTTAAAGGACTCTGCATTTTTGTTTAACTCACTGGATATATCTTCGTCAATCAGTTTCACATGGCGAGTCACTGTCCTGCGTGATAAACAGATTTTTTCAAACTTGCCTTTGCTCTCCAGACACAAGAGACCTGCTGTCTCTACCATGCATTCTTTCAAAAACTGGCCTTCAGAGAAAGGCTTGATAGCCTTTGCTAATTTGAATGCCAGCATAAAACTTGCCTTGGTACTTGACTTTTGAATCACAGTTTGTCTGTGAAAAAAAGTTTTGCTGAGTCTGTAAGTTAGCCATCATCCTCTGAGCAGTAGCCACCCGTTCTTGCATTGACTGCTTGCTAGCGTAGTCAGCATGCTTTGTGGCAAAGTGATGGCTGATGTTGTATTCCTTGAAAAACGCAACCGTTTCTTGGCATATCAGGCATACAGCTGTTAATAGGACTTCAGTGAAAAAAATATTTTGTTGTCCGCTCCTTATTAAACACTCACTGTCCACTTTTCTTTTCTTTGGTCCGCTCATTTTTACAGATGGGGTCAAAGGGCAAAGTGAAAAAGTGAAGTAGAGAGGTCAAAGTGCATGCGGGCATAGCACGGAAATTGCAAAATGAATGAGGTTTAATGATAACATAATTTAATAATATAATTTGGACAAATTCGGCAGGCCGGATTAAAAAGCCTAATAGGCCGTAGTTTGCCCAGTGCCTGAGCTAAGCTCTGCTTTCGAATGTAAAGCAAAGCTGTTGACTCTGTAGGTATAGGCTGAAAAAGCTTGGGTGGTTAGATGTTATTTATAGGAAATCAGTCACGATTAATGCAAAAATCAAAACACTGGTATGCCATCATGTTGAGTGAACACAGTTTGGGAGTGATTATAGCACAGAGGCCTGGCAGTGACAATTCATCTTTTTATTAAAAAGAAGTGCACATGTTTCCCATGTTGTTGTTATGCGCAGTATATTTTCATGTTTGATTTTAGGGTTTAATTATGTCTGTCCTCTGTCTTATGGACATCTCTTCATTTTTTATACTAATGCCTTCCCACCTTCTGAGCTTGCTTTGTCTTCTTTGTTGTGTTTAAATGTATAACCCCAAGAAAACAACTCAAAGTTGCATTTATTATAACAAGTTAGGTGTGTTGCAGATATTCTATCTCTGACCAAAAATGCATTTTAGCTAAGATATGTTTATTCCATCTGTCCTCTTATGCCTGAGTGATTACTGCTGTGCCTCGGGGCTTATAATATATATATTTTTGATGTATACTAAGTTCTAGCCTTGCAGATTTTGCATATCTTACAGTTCCTGTGTTTTGCTGTTGACTTGTGTGCGGTATCCATCCTGCTGTGTCTAAGTTGTGTCTGGTTGTCTTCCATGCAGCAGCAGCTCCAGGCTCACCAGCTGTCTCAGCTCCAGGGCCTAGCCCTACCCATGACCCCCCTACCGCTGGGCCTGAGCCAGCCAACCCTCCCTGCTGTCACCACCTCCTCCGGCCTCTTCTCTCTCTCCTCCCTGCTGGCCTCCCAAGCCCAGCTGGCCAAGGAGGAGAAGGCATCACGTGATGGAGTTGACAGCCACCGTGAAGAGGATGGAGACAAGTCCGATTAGAAGGTGTCCCCATTCAGCTCTGTTTTTATCCAGAGACCTGAATCCCAAGATCCAAGCCCCCTTGGCCTACAGCCTTTCCCTCTCTCTGACCTTAGCTAATATGGGCTTCAATCCCATCACCACCATCACTACAACTACCAGACCCCTAACCAGATCCCATAATTGGAAGAGCTTTGGCACTTATGTCATACCAGTCCTGATTTCTTTGTATTTACCATAGCTGGATTGTTTCTTTATGCTCCCTTCTTTTATCACCAGAGTATTCCTCTCTCGTATATCTTGCGTCTTTTACTCAAACTATTCAAACATTGCCATTTTTTAAAAATTATGAATAAACTTTATTTTTTGTCTTTTTTTTTATCAGGGCTTCTTTATGTTTGTGTTATTTCCTGCCTTCCTGTCACTGTCTTTTTGTTGTTAACCATGTTTAGTTTGTTTTTCTCTCTCTTTTTCTCCATACCTCTCTTCCTCCCTCTGTCACCCCCAACCTATTGCCGCTGTTCTTAGTGGGTCCTTGTTAGGCAGGACTGCTCTGAGAGACTGAACGCACCATACTGTAGGTGATAAAAACAGGCTAAATGTTAAACACAGGGATTATTTGGCAAGCTGCAAAACTTGTCAGCCATGACACAAGGTTCTTACAAATTTCATTTTGCTGAGATAAAGGTCTGACATAAATCAGTGCTGGTTTTTTTTCTTTCTTTTTTTTTGGCAGTTCAGATTGCATGCATTCATTCCAAGCTAAAAGTTGGCTGTGAGTTAAAACAGTGGCTTGTTATGGGTCAGAGTTTAAATACTGGCCTAATGATCACACACTAAAGACAGAAATGTCCGCCTTGTATTACTATGTGAACCTAGTCATGTCCTAACCAAAACCTGCTGCTTTTAGAGCAGAAGACGTCTCCAGCTGACAAACTAGAGGTTGTGTGTATAATCCTAAACTTGTATGGAGAGACTGAACACACCTTTTTAGAGCAAACTGAGAGCTGTCAGACTAGATAACAAACCCACCTTAGAAAGCATCCCCTCCAACTTACAATCCTTGCCATCCAACTTACTATAAGGCCACATTTTATTCATTAGTTAAATAAAAGCTGAGGCAGCACAGTGTGCAACAAAAAGAAAAGATGCCACTTGACTCACACATCCTCCCACCACCTTTTTTATTTTTAATGTGCACTTAATACAGAGCAGACAGGTTGGGGAGAACGTGTGCATGTTGTGTGTTTGACAGCAGAGGGCAGCCTGTGTCTTTGAAGAATGCTCCTCACTGCCAAATAAGGACAGGACAATGACAGAGTACAGACTGTGTCACAAGGGGAAGGGCTTCTTTACCACTCTTTGTGGACAAGCTTAATATACAGAGATTAGACTGGTGACATTAATCTCTGCATGGGGTTAGTCCCAGTCTCTGTCACGCTCCAGCTCTTGAGGAATAGTCTTTAGTCTATTTAAAGCAACATCTCTGTCCAAGCATTAAATACTAACATGGTCCCTGTGTATTCTAAGATTTAAATACAGTAAATTTTGAATCATTTCGCACATACACATCTGTCATGTGTCATGTAACACTACATTATACAGCTCATTTAACATCTACATACAGCAGTGTGTGTGGGAAAACTCCAGTTATATCAGAGAGGATCATAGAGATTAAGCACAAGCATTCTCCACAGCTGCTCTGACGAGTATAAAAACTCCTCAGCCTTAAAGGCCCTGCACACCCGGACAGGTGTTTTCAATTACTCTATCCGATTACACCTCTCATCAGGTGCAAGTGTGGTGAATGCTGGGAATAATGTGATGAGACAAATAAGAGACACTTGCACGAAGGTTAAACCTCTAATTATTTACTGATAGACTGGCTGTCACGAGGTGTCCATGTTCATTTGGCTTATTGTTGAGGGCCAAGTCAAATATGTCAGAGCTCTCAGAAAAATCTTAGTTTCCTTCTCCTAACTGTGACTATGGCTATTGAAATTAGAGCTACTGTACCTAATTTCTTTTCAGCCACTAGAGGGTCTGGTGAGACCAAGCGACAACCTCCTAGGCTGAGAAATGAAGCCACTGCAGAAGTGCTAAAACCTGCAGTTCCACAAATGGCCACTTGAGGCTGCCTTCAAAAGGGAGTCAGTCCCCATAAACTCTTATGTTCAAGTTACAGCAGAAATACACATGTTTGTAGCCTAGTACAAAAAAGCGGATTTGGTCTCTGTAGCTACAGTAATTTCTCCCATGACAACTATACAGAGGGTGAATGTTTATATAACGTGCTCATTTAAATTATATTGAGACTAAAAGGTACACATAAGTAAGGGCATGGCTGCTTTGAGTGACAGGCAGGAGAGTCCCACCATAGGTGGCTAGCCGCTAGCTGTCTAGCAAGCTCCACTCTTGCTTCACCTTTATGCCCTTTTGTGGATTACACATATCAGGCAGAATAAAGCACTACCAATATGGCAATGACCAGACTTAAAAACTGCTCTTTACAAAACTAATAGGTGACGTCATGGTGGCTTTGTCCGTCTTTTATATAGAGTCAGTGAGATTCAAAATAAACTGACACCATTAGCCACTCCCAACCAGAACCCTTAAGATAGAAACATTGCAACAGCAAGGGGTCAAAAAAAGTATCGGGCCAAGTGATTCATGTAGATTCATTACTAATTAATTACTACTTTTAATCACTTGAACAGCCATGCAAACCAATTGTTTGTTCTGTTGCTGTAGATAGCTCAGCTAATTTAGCTAGTTAGTTCAGTACCTATTATTAAAGTGACCTGTTATATGAGGAAGATGGTCACAAAGGTTGTAAAACGTGTATAAATGCTTTGACACATGTCTAACTTAAAATGTCACAAGTATAATTATTGCCATAAATTTAAACTTACTTGAGAAGACGGCAGCCAAGTCAATGTAACTCTATGGCACTGCGCCTGTTTGGAACTATTCAGCATCCCCATAATCCAGCATTACTAAAGAAAAAACATTTCTCATAGAGTCAGTGGAGATGTTATCACTCTCCTTAATCCACTCTGCTCCTAAGCACTCTTTGCCCCTCCCATCATGCCCTGTTTCCTAGAAAAGATGAAAACTACTGATGCCTGCTTGCAACAAACTGTACAAAATGTAGCCCCCAGTCTGAAGCTAGCATTAGCTGGCTGAGTAAATTTGACAGTCCACTTGAACACTGGTTACTGTCACACAAAACTCTAAAGTTACACAAGATTCGAATTATTCTCTAATTAAAATCATACTAATTTAATAGAAAGATAAAACCATGACCATGCCAGGTTGTTAATGATACCAAAACAAACACTTGATACTGGTATAATGCATCCAGATGGAAGAACACCACATGAGTCAAATTTGAGCCAGTTGACTGTTTTTAACGCTCTCAATCTAAAAAAAGCCAAACTGGTGTTAACTTGGGTTTTGCTCTTTCTTTATCCCACTCTGTGCAAAAGAACATGACCTCTTTGGTCTGGCAGCCACTCTTTCAGACTTTTTAACTGCTTAGAGGTCCTGGCTGGCAGTTTGAAATGACTGTGGATCAAAAAAAATGCCTCTTAAACACTTCGCTAGGTGGCAGGTGGGGCTAATTTACAGACTGTATCTCGAAAGCACAGCATAGATAAGCTGGAGTAACAACAGAAACGCTTCAGGCAGCAGAGTGAAACTACATCCTGTCCTCTTTTCACCTCATATATCACTATGTGTCAAATCTTAGTTAATGCTTCTTTACTGTTTTACATGCCTGAAGCTGAACTATGATATTACATGAATAGGTGCAACAAAACTACTGGACCTGTGAGTGAAAGTCAAGTATATCCAGTAGGTCTATTCAGGTAGCATACCGCAGTGGAAAGGCCTGTGTGGGTAGACACCTGAGTATAGGGGGTTTAGCTGGCCTATTAGCAGCCACAATCGTTCACTATAAGTTGAGATGAAATTCATTGTTTGTCAGCAGATACATTTCCCACAGAGATGGCCTCAGTGGTAGTTGAACTTCTGACCATGACACACTCCATCAGCAAAGATGATTTGATCAAGTTATGAGTTGACGGTGTTGGCCTGTGTTTGCCTGAGCTTTAATTTGTAGACAGTCAGTGCAGCAAGTTCTGCTTTATTCCAACCAGAAAACAGAAAAAACACACACATTTGCTATCTTAGTACCCTCTCTCTGTTTTAGTGGGAATGCTGTGAGTAGAAATGAAGAGTTTCTTTCTAAATGAATCATTTCTACATTTGCTTAAATTACCTCTGGCATGATGATAGAGTACATTTTATTAGTTTGCAGTCACCTTAAGTCATTTGCTTAGAGAATGGCTGTCTCATGTGCAAGTTGAATACATTGGGCAGCAGAAATGTAGGAGGAAGAAAAGGACAAAATTTCAGAATAAAACCATTCATGTGTCTACCGGTTCGGACAGTATACTGTTCATAACACTGGTGTTTTGTATGTACAGTATGTTAATACATAGACAAGGTGTGTATAAACAGATGTACAGGGTTGGTTTGTGGGTGATAAACCATAGAGATGAAATACGTCGCTGTTCTTACTTCAGCTAAAGCTAACATGCTATTCTGCTTGTGAATTAAGCTCGCAGCACACCATTCTCCCATCTAGCCACATACCGTATGTATCTAGCTACATACTGTACTTGTCGTAGTGTGTACTTGCAGAGCGTGTAGACAAAGCAAGACACAAACACGCATCAGTGCATGTCTGCGGGGGAACTGAGATTGATTTCCTTCTTGTGGAGAATTTTATAATTTTTTTTTATTGTTTGGTCCAAATTTTCTGTGAGCAATGCACTTGTTTTTTCTCTCCTTTGTTTTTAAATATTAATCAATATGAATAGAATGGATAGACTGAGAATTACAAAGCTGACATTATAAACATACAAATGAGATTCTATGTATTTGTTAAAGTAGTTGGAGGTGCTTGCCTCTATACAGTTATACATAGAAAGCTTTATGTGTATATGGCTGCATCTTCTCTTGTCTGTCCTGGATGATTCTTGTGCTGTTGTGTTACAAAACCGATGTGACACCGGGGGGAACTGCAGTACGTTGACCTTGTGCCCCTTGACCCCTTCCCTAAGTTCTGACCACCCTCATCCCCTTTACTCCCTTGCCACATCCAACCTTCCCTACTTTTTGCCCCCTTAGCGTGAAGCATTGTAAGAGTTTTGAGCTTTGTAAAGGTCTTTTTTTAAACACTTATTTTGTGTATAATGTAAAACCTGAAAGTGTGTACTTTGGCAAAAGAAATGTTTTGTGTCTGAAATCCTAGCTTCATTTAAACAAACAAAAAGTGCAACCAACATTTACTATAAGTAATATCAAATGTTCTGCAGTAAGGAAGGACTTCTGGTGCCTTACAAATAAAGTCAATCAAATCATATGAAAATCTCTTCATTGACTCAATTTCACACTGTTTTCCAAAGCAGACCGGATAATATAAATAAATAAGTAATATTTGTGTTTAATATCACAAGCTTTTAAGCAGGCATTGGTTCCAGTTCACCTCATCAAGATATGGACATTTCTTCCCCTCCATTTTGTGTTGTGCTAACAGTCTAGTGCTAGTTAAAGATTTGGACACACTTTTCCCATTCACTTCAGTAGTTCATTGTGTTTTGATTAGTACTGGACACACTTTCCCACGGAAAGGAAAACTTTCAGTGGTGTTTTAAAACAGTCCAACATCTTAAAAGTTAAATTTGGCAAAACTGGGGACATGCTGTGATTTGTCGACCCCTGGCAGACACAGGAATGGAGCATCACATATGCTCTACTCTCTCCCTTTTCTAAATATGTAATGTTATTGGTATCACTGAGGTTATGAGTTGGCTTGGATGCTAGATATTCTTTCTTATAAACGACTCCATAGACCCAGTGGTGGACAGTAACTAAGTACTTAAGTACTGTAATTTACATTAATTATATTTACTTTATAACTTTAGTTACTGGTTACCTCTCACAATCAGATTCATACAAAAAGGACAGTATAATCATAAGACCTTACTGGTCTCAGGCGGCTAACTGACAAGCTACCCAGCAGTAGTTCAGATTCTAAGCCTGCTAAAACTAGCTCCATCATTACCAGCTGCAACATTAAATGAGATGTACACAGTAATGCATCAATAATTGCAATCCAATAATATGTTAAATGTGCCATTCTGCATAATGAGCACTAACTTTTAGTATTTTAACTATGCTTTGATACTTGTGAACTTTTAGTTAAGTACCATAACGAATGCAGGACTTTGACTTGTAATTTGACACTGTTATATTCCTACTTTTACTCAAGTGATCTGAGTACTTTTTCTACCAGTCACTGTCTATAAGTGATAAATGCTGTGATATGTGTTATTTTATAAATTACTATAGAGTAACAGGCAAGGAACCATTTCAAAACACATATATATGTTTGCCTGACCCTAGACAACACAGATTATTAACAAAAAAGTCACAGTGTCAGCTAAGATGCAAGTCTACTTTTGTAACCAAATCAAAAAGGCTAGAAAAACCATCTAAAGTGAGTAAACTCCTCTTTAATTACTTTAGATTGTTTACTGAAGCTTTCAAGTCAGATCACACAGTCTTTTTCAGCAGATGTTTGCCCTGTTGCATATGTTCACATTGCCATTTTTTGAGCACTTAACCACTTTGGTTTAAGTAAAACAGTTAACTTTTAATCTACGCAACAAATTGTGTATATAGTTAATGGGGTAAAAGATGAAAATCCCTCATAACAACGAGATAGTGAATCATCCGTGAAGACTGAATAAAAAAAGAAAACCCTGGGAATCAACAGTGATTGTGGAACAGATGCATCCAAACATTATGCTGGATAAAACAATTCTCAGATGTTGTTTTATAGACTCAGTTACTGCCACATAAATTTACAAGCCAGGCAGTCTTAGCCCCCAAGACGGTCCAGAGCCACATGTTTACTGACTGTCTAATAAGTGCTGGAAGAACTTTTGACAAATGAGTGCAACGAGGACCTAACGTGCTCCGACTCTCTGAGGGTTCCTGTAGTTCACCACAGATCCACCAGGAGGAAGTGTTGCTTTAGTTTGGCAGCACCTGCACCCTGAGGTGAATCCAGCAGGTAAATGCGCTGAGGTATTCTCATATGTGCTCCGGTGTTTGTGTGTCACACTGTAGGGGGAGGGGAGGGGGCTTCCTGTTTATTAGCTGCTTTGATGAAAGCTTAACTATTCTCTACAGCATGCACCGAGAACTGATGTGACATCTCTGAGACAGTGGATCGTGGTCTGTTTGGCACCTATGTGTGATCCTCATTTAGACATTGTGTGTATTAGTACAGAGATGTAATTTGCTTTGTTGTGTTCACAGCTCATTGTCCTCATGTGCATCTAGATGCACATATAATGAAGGTTTTGTTGGGAATTCTGTGCATGTGAATGACTTCACTTCCCCCCCCACTTCTCATGTTCTTTCCTTCCCCCATGGCTCCCTCACTCTGTTTGCCTTTCCCTCGAGTCCATGCAGGCAGATGAGTGTGTGTGCTTGACTGCATGTGTGTGTGAGTATGTTCAGAGATAGAAAAGAGAAAGGCGAAGGCTTGTGCAACCTCAGAGTTCCTGTGGTTGCAGCCCTCCTTCCTCCTTTCCCCTCTTTTTACAGACAGCTCTGGATCTGACACTTAAATAAATATGAAAGTGCCCTATTTTTTTAATTCTGTCTGAGGGTTCACACACCACTCACAAGTAGTGACGTAGAAACAGCAGCAGAGGGTAGGATTCTCTCATCCAGTCTTTTTCCTGTGGAGCATGTTAGAGTCTGGGCAAGAAGTAAAGTACCACAATTGCACTCAAATTGTTTAATTAGTGACACCTTATTATTATTATTAGTCCTAGTGTATACATTTCTTAGTGTCAGCAAAGACCAAAGCTGATGATAAATTGATCTTTCCAATCATTATTGCCTGATATATCTTATTCCTCGGTGCATTAGATCTCCACTTTTGTCAAAACAAAAGAGACAAACAAAAACAGAAAACATCAGTGAGCCACATTGCTGCACTGCATGACATGTTCCTTCATTGCCCAGTGCACGTGTATTAATCTATGAATGAAAATGCTCCCCAACAAAAGCTTTGCTTTCTCCTGTGTGAGTAACGTGAGAACAAGTACAGTCTTAGGAAATCAGTGAGTCATTTTTGAAATTAAAAGAATATACAGTAATTGTGGGCGGTTAGATGCACAGCTTCAGTAGGAATGAATGGATGGATTAGCTTCAGGTTTAGTGCTAGCCTTATCATTTAAGACGGGGTCAACGGATTATTGTGATGAGAAAGGAGTGGGGCATCACAAAATGATATATTTAGCTTTTTTCCTGACTGTTTTGTCTTATGTTTGGACAGTTCTGCCTCATCTGTCTTCTAAACCTTTCATATCAAATGATAATATGGGACAAAACTGTCTTTGGTTGCACACAGTTCAGGGCCACAAATGGACACAGCCTGTGATGACAAGTCAACTCAGAAATTTTGGAAAATGCTGCGTTAAACACACCGATAGCGAGGATGAAAAATATGCGGATGCTGTGTGTGTGTGTGTGTGTGTACACGGTCCTGAGAGGAATGCACAGGGAGCTGCACAGGAAAAATTGTTTTGTCTGTGTGTGTATGATGATGATGAGTCTGAGCGAGAGAAACAGAGAGAGGGAGAGAGCGACGGAGAGCGAGAAGCGTCTTGATTAATCATGATTGACTCATTCAGAGCCAACTCGTTTTCTCCCCTCGCTCCCTCACGCCCGCTCTCTTTTATGGCTTGATTACGGAGACGTACTCTATCTCTCATTACCTCCCTTCCTCCATCCTTCACTCCCTTATTCTCCATCTTTTTTTACTCTCTCTCTCCCTCCATCCGTTGCTCCCCTTTACACCGCCTCGCCCCAGCTGTGCCAGTTTATTCATCCGTCCCCAGGAAAGGAGACTGTCAATCTCCATGTGCCGCCGCTCCATCCTCTAACCCGCGTCCACGTCCCTTCATCCATCTATCCTTCCATTCATCCATCACTGTCACTTTTTCCCCTTTTCTTTCCTCTTTTTTCTTCCTGTGCCTCACTCATTCCTGCCACTTTGACAGTCTTATAAATTTTCTGTCTTTCTCTGTTCAAAGGCTTCCTCTATTTATCTCCATGCTTTTTTTTCCCTCTCCTGTGCATTCAGAGTGATCAGTCGTTCCCTCTGTGACTGTCTGCACACTCACACAACTGGAAAAAAGCAAATACACACATTTTACCTCTCGTTCTTGCAATCCCTTTCTCTCTCTCTCTCTCTCTCTCTTCATGTCTGTGTCTCTCTCCCTCTGTCTCAGCCTCAGCTGGAAGAGCAGTGTTGATACAGCCTGGTCTAATACAGATGCTTCCAGAGAGACACCTTGGGAAACTGTCTCTTGGCCTGGTTTTCTAATCGTGTCTTCTCTCTGTACAGTTCCCCACTGCACTCACTCACACTCACACACACACACACACGCATGCTCAGGGTGTTTGTTTATGTGTTTGTGAGCCACATGTGTGTGTGTGCGCTCATGTGTGTGCAGCAGCTGGATTTCTCCAGCAGCAGGACACAGAAAGAGAGATGAGAACTATTCAAACTTTAATGGAGTCATACGATACAAACAGCCTCTCTCTCCCTTCTTCACCCACTCCGCTTGTCTGCTTCTCTCCTTCACTGACCTTCGTCATCCTCCTGTTCCTCGTTCTTTCTTCCTTCCTGTGATATTTTCATCTTTTTTTAAATACCTTGCTCTAACCTTCTGTCTCTTCTCTTTCCTTTTATTCGCTCTTCTCCTCACTCATTTTCTATTCTCTTAATCATCCTCTACCATTTCTTTGACTCCTTTGTTTTAGTTTTGCCTTTCATCTCCAATCCCATGTTCATGTTTAACTTATAACCGCTTTATTACTCACCATCTATCCCATCGCTCCTTTCTGTCTCTGATTCTGTCTTGTTCTACAACCTAATGACTTTGCTGTCTTCAACCAATTCCTTATCACTTTTCTTCTCATTTCTTCTTTCTTTTGTGGACATTTAAAAAAGGTGGCTGATGAAATTAATCACTTCTTTCCTTCTTACCATTTGCTGTCTAAGAAGCCTTAAGCAAAGCATAGAAAGGAATAGTTAGAAATATTTTCCTTCTCAGCTTGTCTTAAGGACAGAAAATGGTTCTTTGATATGTCTCATTAGTTTAACATGCACATTAGCAAAACTAAAAGCAACAGTAGTTTCTGTTTTAGGTGGAGTTTTGTGTTGGAATTGTTTGCTGATGAACAACGTCCTTCTGCTCAGTATGTCTGTGTAGCATGTCCAGCTATAGTGTGGGTTGCTGGTGAGATTTTTGGTTTCGATGACTACACAAGCAG